AACAAGTTACCAAATCCAACCACGAAATGTCCAGCTGTCGGACCTGTTTGCGACTTGTTTGACGTCCAAATCTCGAAGAACAACCACAGCTATATAAAAGCCGACCAGTACTTCACTCGTTCCTTGAGCTCGCCTTGTTACCACTCCGCTCTCGATTAGTATGCGTGTCGCAGCCGTTCTCGTTGCCTTGTCTGCCGCTCTCTCCTCTGCGGGTGCTGGTCTCGTCTCCCGCCAAACTCTGCCAGGTGCGTTATATCTGTGGTCGACGACGACGACGACCTCCTGACCTATCTTGTAGCTTGTGCGGACACGTGCATCACCAGTGCGAATCTGGGCGGTTGCGCTGCAACCGACGACAGTTGCTTGTGCCGCAATCAGAGCTTCGTCAGTTCTGTTACCTCCTGCGTCGAAGCCTCTTGCTCCGGCAGTGATCTACAACAGGCAGAGCAATTCGCACAATCTCTTTGTCTCGCCGTGGTACGTTACAAATTCATATCCTTGGCTGGCTATTGCTCACTAGTCTTGCAGGGGGTGACACTAACCATCTCAACATCTACTGCAACGTCCCCATCGTCCGCGACTTCCACGTCGTCCACGTCATCTTCGTGAGTATCCGCAGTTCTCGGGTGATACGTTGCATTGATTTTTACGACCTCGCAGTCAAGCGCCTAACTTAGGTGGTGCTACGTTGTCTTATGATATCAACGTGTTTGCAGCAGCTGCTGCCGTTCTCGGTGTTGGCGTTACTCTCTAGACTGCTAGAAACTGTCGGTCACCATCCGCTGCTTTGAATCGCCGAACTCACGCATTTGCCATTTCGTTTTCCTCGTGCTATATTTTTGGGGCATTGTCATTTGGTGTATTTATCTACTTTCGGGTAGTTCATTGTAACCGTGTAGCCATTTAGCTCTTAATGAATGACCCGACGATGGTATTTCCATTCCATGGCAACGTCGTGAGGTGGAGCGCGAATACAGCCTACCAGTACACAGGACAAAAGTGCTGATGACCGTTGCCATCGTAGGCATACGCCTGCATTTGGCTAGAGAGAGCTGATGGATGACGATGGGGAGGATGACTTTCCCAAGATGGCCTGGACTACCAAATACGGTAATCGCATTTTGCTCCTCACGACTAGTTGGCCCGTGCGAGGACAGCGTTGGCGGACACCGTCGATGAAGGCCAAACGGTTATGGCGACGAGTGCCAACACCACTGGCACTCTTGGTGGGTCTTTTTCTGGGCCTGTTCATCGGGCGCATCCTGCCACCCTCCGTATGTCGATTCCACCCGCACAATGTAGACGTAACTCACCGGTGACAGTTCTTCGGGTTTTCATGGACACGTCCCAGCGCACCCGTGTTTCTTTCGCGGCTCTCCGCGCGAAAACATTTCACTTTGCCAGACGTCGACCAGCGAAAGCGCGTTCTTGATCTCCTCTCAACACTTTCGCCGTACCATACCGCTGAATGTACCCGCAACTCACAACCGCTCTACGTTCAGCAAGTCAGGGAGCGCTACAAACCCCTCGTAGCAAGCAGATCACCCTCATCACCCTCAGCTTGGATGCCTTCCCTGGGACTTGGCCTGTCTGACCCAGATGGATTATACGCCCCTCCCGCGGCCAGAGAACATAAATACTACTTTGCCATCAACTTGTACAATTCCTTCGACATCATCCCTGACCTCTTTGCTACACTCTTCAGGGTGTCAGCCATCCTTGGGTACCACAACGTATTCGTGTCCATATACGAGAACGGGTCGAACGACCAAACCAAGGCGCTCCTTCGTATATTCGACTCGATTACAAAAAGTGTCGGACTCAGAGTCACCATACGGACGTCGACTCGCACAAGAGGAAATTTCAACCACCGCATCGAATACCTCGCCGAGGTCCGAAACCAGGCGTTCGACCCTCTTCACGAACTCAGAGACGCCAACAATGAGTACTTTGATACTATCATCTTCATGAACGATATCCTGCCATGCGTAGACGACGTCCTCGAACTGATATGGCAGAGTAGGAGGAACAATGCGGGCATTACATGTGCTGCAGATTATGTGTATCATAATGACCTCGTAAGTTGCACCCTTCGTTCTCAGTGTCCTCCACCGTGACACCTTCGCACTACTAAGAATACACCTGTCTTTTACGATAACTGGGTATCACGTGACATCAACGGCACAGCACTTGAGAACGCGCCATTCGAGAGCATCTTTCACGATCCAGAGTCCTCTGAACGGTTCCAGCGTCACCTTCCCATCCAGGTCCAATCCTGTTGGAATGGTATCGCGATTCTTGACCCTGCACCCTTTTACTCGCCCCCATACGTTCGCTTCCGCATGGCAGACATCATACAGGGCGAATGTTCCGCATCGGAATGCAGTCTGATCTGCAACGACTATTGGCAAGCAGGGTACGGCCGCATTGTGATGGTACCACGGGTGAAGCTCGCATATGATAGGGTCAGTCTCCATTCTAAAATTGCCACCACCAACTTTCTGCCTCGTGGCTCTTATTGCTAAGCTTTGAGTTTCACCTTTCTCCAGAAAGTCTTTGATCTGATACACCCTCCGCGGAAAAATCTCACTGCTATCCGGGGGTATGTTCGCATCGGTGGGCTTCCAGACGACCCCCGCTATGACCCTCAAGACCGCTCCTGGTTCGGACCGCATGATCGTGTGTTTGACTCTCAGGAGAGTGAGGAAATAGAGTTCCAACCAGGTCCTTCACACGGTACGTCATCTCCGATGCTCAGTTTCCACCGCCTCATTTAATCATTGGTGGATATGGGAATAGTGTGGTGTTGGGGCTGGGACGGTGCCGGTGATATTGATGGGCCTGACGTGGACCCTATATGGGAGGAAATGCCAAGCCGATCACAAACTGTGGAGGCAGTCACTGTGAAACATGACAGGGCCTTTGACCTGTGATCTACTGTTTTGATCTTGATCCCTTTTTGTTCGCGTGTGATGGATGGGACGGAGGCTTCCTAGGACACGTTGAACAGTTCTATCCTTGTTACTTGTCATCAAACAGAACTAGACTTGGACTATGCATGTGTAGCTGTCTTGGCGCTTAACATGTTGTATATACCTTCTTGGATAATTCGAGGTTGCTATCGCATGCTAGTCATCCAACTCTCATTCAAAAAGAACGCGCTGTAAATCGGGATCTGCGAAACACCCCCTTTCGGTGGCAATCCTGGCCTCTCGTGCGGGTTGCGGGTGGGCGAAGTTTCGAGGTTCGCTACACCCAGTTGGAGGAGTGGGATCATCGGGACCGAATGGCTGTGAACCCTTTTGAGGTCTACTGTCATATTGTTAGCACTGACCAAGCCCCCAAGGCAGGACAGACACGAGGTCAAAACCATGCATTTTCGACCGCGGCAAAGAATTCTGACATGGAGGCCTTTGAAGCTATGCGGTATTTGTGTTCGGAAAGACCAGGTGTTCCCTTGTTTTGGGGTAGTAGTCCGGAGAACTGATTTATCCTCGCCGACGTTACACCGTTACACATGGCGCCGAGCGTTCCCTTGGTACGGCACCGTTGGCAGAAGGATGGCCGTATTGTTAGCCAGTTGTCTAGTACATACCCATGCGATGTCGATGCTGGGCTTGATGAGGTTGATTGCCTGCCCCGGTGGGCCAACGTAGGCCTCGATAAAGACGACGACGGTGCACTCCGACTCTCCGGGCCTTGCCTGGTGAACCGTATCGGTCGGGAAACCTACTATTAGCCTGCCTGAGCACCATTACTATATGCAGTGAGGAGTGGCCGGTGCAGCGCGTCAGCTGCTGCACCCAGAAATCTCATAAAACTCACCCATAGAGGTCGTCGAGTTTACGCCAACCGTTCCACAACTCCCTCCCCGCTCTACTACTCTGGCAGTAGCCAAAAAATTACAGACACGTTTCTTTATATGCTGACTTCTGCTTGGCGACCGTTCCGTGATTAAGACGATCATCACGGGAGGCGTATACTTTCGATACGTCGGCCACGCGCTTCCCGTCCCGCACTCGACCTCCTCTTTGCCTCTATATTCGCTAATACCGTTGCCTCTCCGACGTCTTTGGACGGGACAAGGCTTGTCTGCCGGAACAACGAAATGTCAAGTCCTGGGAGTATAAACACCAAGGTGAGGGCGTCTGTCCTAAACATTCTGGGTAAAACAGGTTTGTCGAGTTCATGTAATGAGTTGTCTTGTATGATGTCAATAGAACCCCGCTATGGTCGTCGCAATTTCTTCAGTGGTGCTCATGTTCCAGGTATACCTCAAGCGGGTAATGTGCAGAGAGCCCCCCATGGTTCGTAGAAATTTGGGAACAAGCGCCTCCAATCGACCTGCTGCTACCGCTGCAAGCCAGTACTCTAGTAATCAACGCAGGCGACCTCGACGGACGCCGAGTCAGATCTCGACCAAATCGTTGCCACCGTACATGGTGACCACGAATTGCACAATTACAGGTGGGTTCTGCCCTTTTTTCGGCGCCAGGAAGATAAAAGCACTGACTTTATTTTTAATTTTTGGCGGGTAGAGGACCATTGGAAACGGCGGATCAACGTCAACGTTCAACTGCGAACTCGACACTTCCGCTGGGTGACGTGGAGGAGAATTCTGATCCTGGTATGACTCATTGCAGCATCGCCGGTATCGCGAGGCAGGTTGACGGACGGAGCTAGTTAACATACGTGTTTAAGAAAGGCACTTGCCTTCTTTGTGTTTGCCGCGTACTTGGACAGGTCGATCGAACTGTGGATGAAGAACCAGATTATCGTCAGATGGGACACGAGTTATCTCCAGTGCCCTCTCCAATGAGTCAATACAAGCATTGATGCATGATATACTTCAGTGCCGATCGTTCATCCCTTGGGAGCAATCCTAAAAGTAGGAAGGAGCAGCTGCGTCCAGAACAAGATCAATCCCTGCGAGAAAGTATCTGGCACGCCATTTCATCCTTTGCCCTAGCAGTCGCGGCTGGCCTGATGTGAATTGCGATGGGCTTTTGGCGCAGTTGGTAGCGCGCATGCTTCGCATCGTTAGACTGCATGAGGTCGTGGGTTCGACTCCCACAGAGTCCATACTTTTTTTTTGATCATCGTCATCCCCGTCCTCCCCAGAAGAAATCCACACTTCCGCCTTGGCTCCCCTGTTTCCTTTTTGTTTTTTCGTTCGGCGCTGGCTCATGCAACGACGCGCAGGCCTCAGCAAAGGTCTAGCACGCATATCTCCTCCGTCCCAGGACCATCTCTCTGGCATGGGTGCCATCGACCCGTCGTTGCGGCCTCGGTGGCAGCTCCGCGCTTTCGGCGTCCCCAATCGCATATGGGCTGTCCTGCTCGTCGTCGCATTCCTTGCATCTCTTACCCGCTTCCTCCCTGCTTACCACCAACAAAATACCCCGGTCTCCACCGTCGGTCTGTTGCCAAAAAACTACTTCCGCGACTCGTCTATCTTTTCTGTCAATGCTTCAGAGTCAGATGCAGCCGGCTATCCGTTCGACTTTTGTCCTGTTCTCGGTCCAAATGACGACTTGGCACAGAGGTATGGCGCTCTGGCTCTCACTCAAAGCCGGTTGCACGTAGGAAGTGGAGGAAGAATACACCGCATGCTACACAAGGCCCTCCTTGGCCGACCCATAACGATGAGCGTCTTAGGCGGATCAGGTGGGTTGCACCATCTAGATAGCCCTTTGTACGTCGCTGGTTAAACGTCTCGGACTGACTCTCTCGTGCGACCAGTTTCTGCATGCCATGGCGCTGGTGACGACCCATTGTCTTCACAATGCTATCCTTCGATGTTCTTCCAGTGGTGGCTAAGCGTGTTCCCTCACCCCGCGTCCGAACTTACCAACGGAGCCATGCGTCGGACAGACTCTGGCTACTTCGGCTTCTGCAGTGCTCATCACGTCCCAGAGCATACGGATCTCGTGATATTAGAGTTCGACGTGGACGACCGGAGGTATGCTCCGTTCTTTAAGTGTTCATCGTCACGTTTACTGGGACACCCATCAGTGACCAGTATACCATGGAGAACTTTGAATTACTCGTTCGTTCTTTGTTGGACCGTCCAGATCAGCCGGCCGTTCTTGTCCTAGGCCACTTTAGCCCCCAGGTTCACGATCAATACGGCTTTGTTGGACCAGATCATTGGCACAACATCGTAGCACAGTTCTACGACGTGCCTCACGTAAGGTACATTTACTAGTGATCGCTACCCTCGTCGATAACTCACGCTACATCATCAGCGTGAAGCCAATCCTCTATCCGTCTTACATGGACGATCCAGATTATATCAAACCGTATTACACCGACCCAATCCTAGCCAGCCCTCAAGGACATCGAGTCCTCGCAGACGTCCTCATTTCGTTCTTCCAATCCCAGATCTGCAACGTGTGGTCAGCGGTGGCTGGCCGATCCTTCGACTCCATTCCAATCCTAGTCTCATCCGATTCTGGTGGCTTGGGTGCAGAACCTCACCTTTTCGGTGGCGCTGGGGCACGAAAGGGCGCCGCGCCTCCTGAGATTGGTGACGAGAATGAAGCCAAGAAGCCCCTCCGTGCACCCCCGTCCGTTCCTGTATATCCTGAGTTAGGCATCCCCCCCGTACGGATCAACACACGACCGCGATCACCTGCTCAGTTTGAGGAGCCTGCCCCGTTCTGTGTCTCGGCGAACGACCTTGTGAACCCCGTTCCACCCTCGTTGTTCTATGGTTCGGGTTGGGAAGTTGCACACCCTCCACCTGGCGTGTCGCCACTGTTGACAGCGGCGTATTACTGGTACAGTACGACGGCCCTGAGCAGGTTACGGGTACCTATCCGAGTCGGAGCAGGTGATGTGGGCATATACTACCTAAAGGAACCAATCAAGGACATCGGAGAGGGAAGTCAGTTGGAGTGTTGGGTGGATGATAACTTTGGAGGGGCTGTTACCATTGAAAACTCGGGCGACGTTTCAAGTCCGATCCAGCGTACGTCGTATCCCTCGTTTCTCAAATCCTTTGGTGAGATTTCACTCCGACAGACTCGAAATGATCGACCACATGGTTACCCGTGGGTCTCACTATGTCGAGTGCGTGCTTATAGGAGACCAGAGTCAGCGTCTTCCTTCGTTCAAAGTCCTAGGTGTTTTCGCAACTTGACCGCCCGTGCCTTTTTGCACATGAGAGCGGTGACGATTCCAGCTTTTTCTTGCCTTCAGAGAACCACGACACTTTGGATAGACTCTTCATAGCACTAGAATGTAGTTTCCACGGACAATACCTTATGAAAAGCACTACATACCACAGCCAAGCCCCGCCTCGAGCCCTTACCGTGGGAATATTCTCTTGTGTTCCGTCGCTGACGCAGCTGCGGAGCGTTGCGAAGCCAGTGGAGGGTCAATAAAAGAGCGACCTTGCGTTTGTACCAACAATACCCTCGACGAACGACCCACACGATAAATCTGACGAACCATGGCAGGAAGAAGGGGTCCTCCAACGAGTACGTATAACTGGATACCCCAGGGTGACCCTAATATCACCAATCTCCCGTCTTGCGTAGGCGCTCCACCAGCATACTCGTATGTGACAAGGATTTATAAACGGAGTCTGCGACCAGTCGTCCTGGCGAGTAAGTGTTCATCTCGTCCTCATTCTGCGTTTCGTGATCTCATGCGGGTGCAGTGACCGTCGTCGGCGCCCTCTGGTGTCTAGCATTGTAAGTATACCCACACCATTAGATGGTGGAATAATGCTCATTTTTTTGCCCTTGTAGCGCTGTAAGTCACCCTTCGATAAACATGATCATCGTCTCATCCCCGATACGGCTTCAAGATTTCAGGCTACAAGGAACTTGCTACTGACGAAAACGGTGTGCCTAATCGATGAACATTTTATACTGACGACCCTGACACACACGATCAGATAACTTCCACAACCTCGCCCCGTTGGCAGCGGTGCAGGGAGCCTTGTATACTCTAGCTTTACTGTTTCAAGTGTTCGGGATAGCGGCAGCGAGCACGGTATGCCCAGTCATCGTGTAGGAGGCTAGCCGTTTTCTGACGTCAATCGTCAATCAGCAACGCACAAGATTCATCAGGATATTCACATACTTGTCTGCACTGACGACCTTATTCGCAGTGGGAGTGTCGTTCATGCGTGTTGTCACTCACTTCACTTTCAAGGTACGTGGATTTCGGATATCCCCGTGAGCCTCGGTGTACTCACGATATCTCAGAGCGATTTGATCGCAGAGTGCGAGAATCTCGCCCAGAATGGGAGTGTGGACTCGGTAGGTTGCGAGTTGGCGTTGTTTCCTCGCAGATCGGTTCATGTAGCCATTTTTTTTTCGGGGCAGATGTTCGGGTTTTGGACAAGTGACCCGGGATCCAACCTCAATGCTGCTAACGCGACATCGTGTAAGTAGTATTCTTGAGAACACCATAGGTGGGTGATTGACTTTGCCTTTACTAGATTGCAATGACATGTGGTCCCGCGATTCTTGGGCTGAGATTCTTTTGCTGCTTCTGCTGATTGGTCCGTCGTGATTTCACTACTTTGCGAGATGCGAGTCTGGACATTTACTAACCCATTTCATGCAGTTGTCGGCCTGTTATTTACGTCGACCGCATTCGCATACTATCGCCAGGTGATCGACCCCACAAGTCCTGTTAATTCCTCCCGTACACCAGCCCACCAAGTGAGGATGGACGAGTTCCCCGCTTACAACGCACCGTATGATGCTCCTCCGTATGCACCACCGGCTGGTCCGCCACCGTTCGACGGTGAAGGGAAGCCGCCGCAGTACAATTACGGCGGATACTCGTCCTTGGGAGATGACAAGGGAAAGGGGGAGGATTCCAAGAACGATCCATTTTCCGATTATGTGACCCCGCCCATGCCGACTCATTGGGCGGAAGAACGGGATGTTACCTCCAGAACGTGAGCTGGCGCTCCGAAATGCATGGGATGCTTCTCTTTTTTTTTTGTTCTTTTCTACCTCTCGTACATTACCCGAATGATATGAATGGACTCTCCTCTCGACTATTGAAGACTACACCTAAATAAATGTTTTAGTTACTCCTACTGCAATTCACGCGCGGGTGACACTGCTGTTCCATTTGGAAGTTGTACTCCTCATGCCTCGTACCAGAGCAAAAACCAAGAAAGTTGCTCTGAGCAGTACTGTAAGTGAGTCTCGACGAGGCTTCTTCCCATTCCTCCAATATGCCTCCGTCGTCGGCGTGCATGTCGTTCTCGTTGGTTTCACGGCTCTCTACCTTCCTCAGTCCACTCTTCTGTTCGGACCTCTCCCCGAACGAAAGACAGACAGGCCTCAGTCTGAATTCATGGAAGCGCTCACGGCACGTCCCGCGGTAACGGCTGCGTGGATCCTTGCTGGGCTATGCGTTCTGCAGGTGTGGTGGGGCACTTGGGTAAGGAAATGGCACTTTGAACAGCACGCGAACGGGACGCCAGACAAGATCAGAATCAGCAGAGCAAAAGTCAACGGGGCCTGGTTCGCGGTATGTCGTACAGGTTTACGGGCGGGCGTGAGCTCTCACACGTACTCCCCTGATTGCAGAGACTTCGTGAATCCGTCGGGTTCACCCTATTCGCGACGGCAGTTGCACACATCGTCATCATTCTCTTCGGGGCACCTTTGCTAAGGCGTGTACTGTGTCCTACTCTTTCTAGTATTCGCGCTTCTGAGCATCTCTACAGCCACCGTCTCCAAACTGGTCTCTTAGCTTCTGTAGTCGCGACCTTGACAGCATTCGTTCCCGCTTTCGTATTTGGGTACCCCTCCCTCGCGTCAGACACGCCCGCATTGTTTAACAGGTTGAACTGGATCAGACTGTTTGCTGAACTTTCGTGGGTACACGACACTGTGGCCTCCCCGCCTAGGGTTTGCTGACGGGATCCAGGCCCAGATACCCAGTTGAACGGGTTGTGGTCTACCCAGCTGTCGGAGCCGTCGTTGGTGCATGGGTCGGTGCCTTTCCTATCCCACTCGACTGGGATCGTCCATGGCAAGTAAGTACTCGAATATTCACCATCGTAACAGCAGCTTCATCACCCCTCATATTAGGCTTGGCCA